CCCGTGCCAGCCCCCGCACATAAAACATCGGCGTCGCTGCCCGCGCGCCGGCTGCCGCCTGCCATCCGGCACGGAATAAACGGGCACCGGGCAGCCCCGCCGCGGGGACGAGGCCTGCGCGCTGCCCCGTCCCCGCGCGCTCGCAGCAAAGCAAACCCCGCAAAAATAAATAAAAGGCGAGCGATTCCTGCAAGTCGAGCAATCATTGCGTTGGCTGGGGGAGATGTTATTCCTAGTGACAGACAAGGGCAATTATCTGCTATCCGCCAGCAGTTTTAGCCTAATTTCATTACTGCTGTGCAATTCTTCCCGAGCCGCTAGTCTATCACTGTCGCGCGAGCGCGCGCCGGGCGCGGGACGGGGTCCCCGCTCGCCGCCGGCGCCGGATTCGCATCCCAGCCGCCTGGATTCGCATCCCTTACGCTGCTGTAAGGAAGCACCGGAGGAGCCGGCGCATGGGAGATGCTTGTCCGTCGATCCGGGAGGAATACGGAGATGCGATTCCCACCGCAGGAGCTGGAGCCCAAGGAGCCGCCGAGGGGACGGACAGCAAGCAGCGCTGTCCCGCCTGGTTGTGCAGGGAAAAACACATGGAAATACATAAAGTAATACATAAATTCCCAACCCGCTCATCCTGGCGGAATATTTTAACACCCCTAATGCATTTTTCCTCCTCTCTCCAAGACACCCTCTCCAGGCCGCCCCGCCGCCCCGGATACCTGCTCCCTAATAAACCTGGGTGACTTTAATGAACTAAATAGCAAATTACTTTTTTATTCAAGAATGAAATTTCATCATATTCATAATTCATATTTTATTTCAGACATCTGCTGCTGATTACATTACATTTAACTAAAATTAGATGATGCTCAGAATGTAATTAAGCCCCTGCCAAATTCTGTGGCCCACCAATACCAGCCTGGCGCAGCGGGGGCTGCCTGGAACCTAATATGTAATTAGGAGCTATTTTCTAGCTGTTTTTAAAGTCTGAAAATTAGCTGCCTTTATTAATCACACAGACAAATATAAAGCGGAGCCAACGCTCGCTGAAATTTCTAAAAAGGATTTTTTTTTAATTATACACCGCGCAGCGCCGCGACTCATTTTGAATGTTGATTTGTTGTGCACTGACATTTTGACAACTGCTTCTCCATTTGTCTGTCGCACTTCGGCAACAACAAAGCCGGCGGCAGCGCGCGGCTCCGGGGGGTTCCGGCGGGACGGGGTCCCGGCCGCGGCCGCGTCCTCCCGCACCGCCAAGCGCTCGCGTTTTCCCGCTCCGTGTGACCCTTTTTCCCCCCCTTTTTCCCTGTTATCTCAGCGAATGTCACTGCCTCTCTGGGATCTACTCATCGGAGCAGAAAGAAGCCGGTGCTGACACGGATTCGGGAAGCGAAATGCCAGGAGTGCCTCGCGGGAAGCGGGGCGTCCGGCACGGCCCCGGAACACGGGGATACGGTCCTGGATGAGGGTTTCCCGCTCCCGGATGGCACCCGCTGCCCTCCTGCTCCCGGGTGGCTCTCTGGGGCCAAACGGGATCGTTTGTCTTTTTGCAAAGCTCCTAACATGAAAAATGAAGCTCAAGAAAAATTAGCCAAATTAGCAGGGCAATCCTTCAGCGGGAATCGCCGCGCCGAGGCCCATCCATAAAGCGAGGCGGGAGGACGGGGACACGCCGGAGGCGAAGGCGGAGAGCGGGAAGGAGCCCGTGGGGATGGGGACAGGGACGTGGGGCCGGTACCCGTGGGAGGTGGCACTGGGGTTATCCCAAACGCAAGGGCTGGATCCGGCTGCCTGGAGCCTCCCGGCCTGCGGATGGAGCCGGGAGCCGTCCCAGGGGATGCCAACCCCGTGGCTATTCCCAGCACTGGGACCTGCTCCGAGCGGGGCAGCTCTGCTCCCCACGGCCCCGGCGAGGCCTGGGCATCCTCCCCCTGCTCCTTGCGGGAGGCTCCCGGGAAGCTGGGGATAGAGATGTCCCCAGGCATTGCGGAGACGGCCCTGGAGCACGGGCAGAGCCGGTTCCCGCTCCCGCTTTGCAGCACTGGCTGCAACGTGGCCACCCCCAGCCAGGGCGACCCTCCACGCTCCATGTCCTGGATCCATCCGGAAGCTTGCGCGTTCCCAGGAAAGGCAGGAAGCAACAGGCCTGGCTGAGCGCCAAGGAAACCCTGAGGCCGTAGGGCCCCCACGGCCCTTCCCCTTGGTGTCACCTCCGCACCCGGAGGCCAAGGCCGCTCCGGGGCTGCGGGAATCGCGACCGACCCCTCGGGCACCCGCAGGGACCGGGATGGACCAGGACACGGCCAGGGGCCACCGCGGGCAACGACCGGCGGCCACGAGGCCGGAGCAAGAACCAGGGCCACGTTTCACACGCCGACAAACCCCGGCACCAGCAGCACGTTCGTGGCAGGGGCTTATTCATAATTCACCTCACTGCACTGCCCAAAGGCTTCATCTATTTCAATAGCCCCTTTTAATTATAACTTAAACCATCAAACCTGAATTTCTGCTCCGTTCTTTCCCTCCGCCCTCCTTCAGCACTCGTAGTGTGACGGCTGGGTCGGCTTCTAAAGAAAACAGCTAATGAGGATCAACCCCAGACATGTGTTTTTGAAGCTAAGTTTCTTCACAGGGAATTTGGCATTTCTTTGTGCTAACCGGGAGAAACTACAGACACAGTTAAGCACTTTTAGAGTCAACACGCATTCAGATATTCACATTGATTACACTGTATTAGAAAATGGTAAATTATTTATTAGGCTTTTTGACTTGTGATTAGTGTAAAGCTGTTCGTGGATGCAAATTGGAATTGTAATTAGACATGTAGAAAACCAGCACTTGAAACCTGTTTTTATTGAAGCAGTGTAGGTACTTTTCTCCTTTTGTATCCAGCATAATTATCAAAGAACACTTTACACCTAAAAACATCAATTTATTAAAACCAGAGACAGTTTTATCTTTGCACAGCAAACTAAAGCTGGTCATCACGACGCCAAGATTTTAAAGCTGGCAGATCTCACCTTCTTGCTCCTGCCTGCGTATTCCTAATGGGAAGAGGAAGCCTCCCCCTTCTGCCAATCTATCACTCAGCTTTGAATGAAGTCTTTTGAACAGAGCTGCACTTAAATAAAGCAGCCGAGGAAAACAAAGACAAAAAGCTCTTTGGCAGGTACAGAAGAGACCAGAGCTGCTAAGAGGCGGCCTATTGCTACCAAATCCTCTGGCTGCTGACACTCACCTGCCAATTCCCTCCAGTTCAGTGGTGCGACTCATTAAAATATCTAAATTATAAACTACATTAGTGTAATCAGTTAAACACAGTTAGGTTTTATAGTTTGTCAGTTGCAAATTAAGGTCAGCTTTTGAAGAGGAAAAAAAAAATCATTCTACTTGGGAAAAAAACCCAAAAAACTACTTTAAACTGAAGCAAATTTGTGCTTGCTTCGTTATAAAACTGCATTATTTTTTCCCTACCCTGAGACACGTTTTATTTACCCAGCAGTGTGTAGGGGGCTAAGAATGTGCTTATTTATGACTGAAGCAGAAGAGATCCCAAAACGGCTGTTGCGGGTAGGAATCTTAAGAATTCTTTTGCCTTTAAGCACCTCCTAGCAGATGAGTTGTTTGAACCAGACCCTGAGCATGCAAATGGCAACCAGGTTCAGACCCCGTTTCTCAGCCCAGACGGAAACAGAGATTATGGGAGACAGCGAAAACAGTGATAATTGCATTAGAACTGTACTGTTTCTCCCATTTTAATTATCCAAACTCTTAATTAGCAGCAAGAAAGAGCTGTATTTAAAGGTTTTCCCTCGCGCGCAATTGGAGTCCAGCAGGAACGGGGCCCTGGGCTTTCCCCAAACACGAGAGCCCCCCGTGCCCCTTGGCTGCGGAGCCGCCGCGCGTCCGGAGCGGGAGAACCCAGCAGAGCGGCACCATTGGAGCTGGAGCCCTGCCAAGACCCTCTTCTCCTGCCCCTGGAGAGCAGCTCAGCCGTTCAGCATGGAAATTCAAGATGGGATTTTGAGAGGCTGGGTCAGGTTTGCACTAGTGCAAGCAGTTGCTCCGTGATCCTCACCGTAATTCCCACTCCCAATAACACCAGGCCTGGACTTGGCTTCATGCCTGAGTGTAGAGACCCGCAACCAGAGAGAGAGAGAAGAGCCAGGGGGAGGTTTCCGGGTGCCAGGGCACAATATCCATCGCTCCAGGGACACGGTGCCGCGTGCCCCGCTCCGCGGGGCAGAGCCCTAGCTCATGGAGAGCGCGCGCTGCACTTCTGCTTTCAGGGACGAGGGGGAGTGCAGGGTCACGCCGGGCGCCCCGATGTTGGTCTCCCAGCACTCGAACCCGCAGGCGCACAGGTCTCTCTTGGCCGCTTCCACGGCCAGCGGGGAGGTGTCTGCCAAGAGGAGACTCCACGCGCCGCATCCCGCTCCATCCGTCTGCTCCGGATCCCGCCCGCAGGAGGGACCCGCGGAGCCGGTTACCGACCTGGTGGCAGCAGGGTGACGCCGCAGCCGCCGCCGCCGGCGCCGGTCAGCTTGCTGTGCAGGCCGTGCGAGGCCGTCACGCGGCACAGCCGGTCCAGGCAGGGGTGGCCCACGCCGATCACGTTCAGGTGGTGCTGGTTGATGTCGAACAGCTCCTGGAAGCAGGCGCGGACACGGCGTGAGCGCGCGGTGCCAACGGGCTCCTCGGCACGGCCAGGGCTGTGCCCAGGGCCCCGGGCTGCCCTGTCCCCCCAGCCGGAACCGCGGCCCCCGGGGTCCCTGCTGGGCTCAGGGAATAGCCAGGTCATGGCAATCTGCCCCCAGGCGTTAACACGGGTGCTAAATCAGAGCCCCTGATGTGTCCTGGCTGTCACCCCCCTCCTTGTCACCCGAGTGTTGGAGGACACTGTGCAAACGCCTCCGCGGCCGTGGGAAGGGCACGGAGCCTCTGCTCCCTCCTCTACCCCGAGCCACTGGGCACCGTCCTGAGCGCTGCTGAGCCACCACCCCGGAGGGGACCGGGCAGAAATAACCTCTCTACCCCCTCCCAGAGCGTTTCCATTCTCCATTTCAAACGGACGCAGGATGAATCAGCCAGTTGCAGGCAGGGCAGGTTGTCGAGGCCTTTGTGCTGCATTGGACAGATGTCCACCCAGAGGCCCCCTCAACGCCTGCGCGAGGGCAGGGAGCTGTGATGGTCCAAGACACCCGTCATCTCCCGATCCAAAACCTGCTCGGGATCGGCTGACAGCTCCTGACACAGGAGACTGCTTCGATGGCTCGCACACAATGCTGGCCACAATCACACGTTTCACAAACGGCCAGATACATCCAAAGCTGCGCTCCAGCCTCGGGACAAGCCCAGGACAGCAGCTCGGAAGGCAGGTCGGGCTCTTCGGAGATCCCGAAGCCCTCGGCACGTTCCCCAAAGCCGGGCACTGGGGAGGGATTGTCCGAAGTCTCGTTCCACGTGGTGACCATGTGGAGCAGACACGGGATCTCCCACAGCCGGGAGCAGCTCTGCGCTCAGCTGGAGCCGCCACCGCACGTGCAGAAACCCCAGCACCCTCTCGGTGCAAACAGAGCAGGGCTTTGCTGCAAATCCCATGGGAACTTCCCATCGGCACGTGCCCGAGAGATTTACAGGATCACGGCCGAGCTGCTCAGTGGGTATCACGTTTTCCGGCCAGTTTTTGACACCCCTCCCTCTACCCCATCTCCGTGTGCTCTGGGGACCTCCTGGGCTGGCTGCAGACCCAGCAAGAGCCGTCTGGCTCTGCCCAGCCGCAGCAGTGGGACACAGCAAAAGGCAGTGCCAGGTGTCCCCTAACGGGGCTGACGCCGCTGTCCTGAGCGGAGGTGGCACAGGGAGCTCCTCGGCACGCTGGAACTGTCCCCTGCAGCTCCGTGTGGCTGCAGGGCCCACGTCCCGTCACCTCCAGCAGGCAGAGCACCTCGTGACAGCGCTGCAGGGTGGCATCCAGACACCAACAAGGAGCTGTTCCACCCGTTCCAAGGGGTTCCTGGCCACCCCGGGGCCGGGCCAGGTCCACCTCAAGTGGACTCTGTCACACCTCCTCACCCCACGGTCACAGGACCAACATCACGGTGCTCTCAGTGCTGCTTCCACTCGAGAGCCTCCCCGGCACAGCAGCCTCTCCCACCTCGAACAGAGCCAAAGCAAACACAGATCTGTGCACGCACCTCATGCATCAATGTCAGCTCAGCTCTGGGCACAGCTCTGTTTGTTATTCCCTGGAGCCAGGATGAGCACAGAGCCACGGGGGCTGGCTCGGGACCAGCCCGTCGCCAACTGGTGGCCACTGGGTTCTCTGCTCCACTCTCCAGCCTTGGCAGTGACAAAGCGGTAGCGTCACCAGCGCTGCCAGAACGAGCAGCTCAGGGAGGCAGATCTCAAACTGAAGCCACTCTGCTTCTTAGCGAAGGGAAGCAAAACCTCCAGAGCTCTGAATCGCCAGAGCA